CTTATGCATTCAAGTTTTTCATTTGAAAACATCAATATGAACAAAATATATCCATGCATGGTCTACAAACCATGATGCATGTGATGAACATCAAGTTAAAGAGCTTGATGATCAAAGTACATTGTTAATAGTGCATGTAAATGATTTTATTCATAAAAAATCTAGATAACCTTTTATGTTCGAAATAAAATTTTCTCAGATTCCGAGTAAGATGATATGAGGATCTGGAAAATTCCAAGAGCTTTTATCATTTCTTTAATTTAATAAAATTATTACAATAAAACAAGGCCATAAATCATTTAAAATACTTTATGAGGTCTATAAATCCTAGGTAAATTCATGGATGACCCCTAAAGTTAATGATGACATCTCAATGAGTTTCATCCATTTTGGTTACTGTTTTCTATGATTTTAAATTTTCTTTTTGTTTAATCTAAATAAATCATAAAACCAGTTTCGAGAATGTGAAAAGGCTATCTAAGATTTTTCGCAGATCCAACTGCATTTGGAATACTCAGAAAAATATTTTTAGAATTTTTCATATTGCATACCTATTTTTCACCAATTTTTGTATTTATAATGGACTAATAATGGGAAAAATAGTTCTACTAATCCAAAATTCATGAACATTTACCAGAAGACCTTATAAGATATGATAACTCTAAAAAAAATTGGATTATTTTTATATTCCGCACACTATTTTTCTTTTATTTTCTAAGATTAAATACACTTAAATCCACATAATCGGATTACAGAATATAAAAATCACCATTGGCATTTTTCTCAGTTTATGTATAATGTAAATGAAATTTAAATTTTTTTTGGTAATTTAATTTAACTGTTTCATAATTATTCACCAATTAATGATTACTCAAGAGAATAAAACAATGAAAAATAGCAAAACTGATTGAAAAATATCTTTTATATTTTTCGCAGCTTCTATATGTTCGATAATAGTGTTACAAAAAGTTTGGGCAATTTTAGAAACTGTCTTCTATTTATTTTCATTTTTGTTAGAATAAATGCACAAAAATCATAAAAGTGGGTCAAACTGTTTAGAAACCCATTTTCATATTTTTCCCAGCTTAAATGTATTTAATGGCAGTATTATAAAAAGTTTCTGGATTTTTATCATCTGGATACTATTTTTCATGAAATTATATTTTTATGAAGGCTTAACAATTTGGAAAAATAGTTAGTCACATCAAAAATTCAAAGGAAAATTTCTAAAAGACTTTTACTGTATTTGGAACAAAAATGTAAAATTTGATGAATTTTGGAAACTGTTTGATAATATTTTTGGATTTTTAGGAGTTTTTAACACCTTTAAATGTGTTGAAATACATTCAATTAATATTAGAAAAACCTGGAAAATAATAGCTAAAACTTTCTTAATCACATGAGTTATAAAATATCACCATTTCAGAAAAATTGTTACCCATTTACTATAAAACCAATATTTGAACAAAAATTTGGCATTTCTCTATACGTAGTTATTAGTATATTAGCATTAGATTTCGACATAGAAACTCACTAGCGTGTGTTTGATGTCGTAGGATCCTGGTAGTAAGGCGTTGGTGTATTCCGAGGCACCACTTGTAGTTACTTGAAACATAGTGAGTATTCACGACTCCCCCTATTTTCGGTTTTTATGTTTTGGGGTGGAAAAGCATGTTCGAAAAGCTATTTATTATTCATTGTATTTAAATTGAATTGTATCAAACTTGATTGCTATATTTTGCTATAATTTTCTATATTCTGCTATGTATGTCTATGCAACACGAAACATGACAACTTATCGTCTTAAGTCCCTTCCCTTAGACTTTACTCCAACCATTAACTCTTTGAGGCAATGGTCATTATGGATAGCGCTATTAGGAACTGACAACTCCTCACTCGCCTGATTGTTGGAGTGCATGATACCATATAATCTATGGAACGATAAACGTAGATCTTGATAGGGAATCAATCATAGGCTTGGTTGGGAACTCATTATTTGCTCTTACACATACAAACTTGTTATTTATTATGGCAATAAACTCGTTTATCAATTATAGCAATCAACTTTGTTACTCATTATAGCAATGAACTTTGTTTCTCATTATAGAAATGAACTTTGTTTCTCATTAAAGCAATGTACTTGTATTTATGGAAAGTCTTATACCAAATCTTAATTTTATAAACTTGTGAACTCACCAACTATTTTCATAGTTGACACTCGTTTTACATGCTTTTTCAAGAAATAATTAGTAAGTGGATATAAAGATCCATCATCATAGAGCACGCTGCATCGTGTGGAAGTTATTTTATGAAGTTATATTTTGAACAATGTCATTTTGGAAAACTTGTACTTTGTTTTGTTTAAATTATGGGTTGTAAACTTTTAACTATTGACATGGTGATCTATCTTTATCTTTTGCAATGAAAACTTTATCGCTGTCATATCTTGTGTTTCCGCTTTAGTGGGGTGTGTCACTTATATACTTAGGCTATTAGGGTTTTCAACTAGGAAACCCTAATCTGACTGCTTAGGTCTTAAGCAGCCCATGGACCCTTCCAGAAGGCCCTTGGACGATTTCTATATGGACCTCCATATAGAATTCGTCCATGCTTCCTTTATGGATCCTAAGCCCAACTTTGTAACTATCTTATAATTACAATATTAGTCCCCTTTATTTAATTAATCTCTTTTAGCCACAAAATTAATTCTTAATTAATTCTTGACTAATATTAATTAAATAATATGATTTCTCTTTTAATATATTATTCTCATAATATATTAACAAATCATAATTAATCCTCTATCTCCTTAATTCATCCTACAAGTTGCTATGGTGAAGGCAACACAAAAGGACCATGCTCATAATCGGGTCAAGTACATACCAAAATAGTTATGGGCTTAGACACCTAATCCAACAAGTGACACATCAACATTGTCACCTAAAAAGATAATTTATTCATTTTTTTTAGAATATGGATTAAGTACACATATTATCGGAGGGCAAGGTTATGATGGAGCTAGTAACTTGAGAGGTGCATTTAATAGCTTGAAGACCTTCATTATGAAAGAAGTGGATCTGTACATTATATCCGTTGTTTTGCTCATTAGTTACAGTTAGCACTTGTGTTTGTTGCAAAGAATCACTCCGACATTAATGATTTTTTCAGTTGATTTCTCGTTTGTTAAACTTTATTGGATGTTCTTATAAGCATCGAGACATGTTAAGAGAGAAACAATCAACAATAGTAGTGGAAGCATTAGCCGCAGGTTTCTTTTATTTTGTCAGTTTGTTTTATGCTAATTGACATTGTTTTCTTGCTAATTTTTGTATATTATTTAGTTCAATTTTAGGTGTCATCCAAAGTGGTATAGATTTGAATCAAGAAGTTGGTATCAAATGACCAGGTGATGCTCATGGGTTTTGCATTATGGTTCACTAGTAAATATCAAGAGAATATATTCTTCTAATTTGTGAAGCACTCGAAGACATTATAAAACATTGTACTTCTCAAGATCATAAAGTCGAAGCACATCATCTTTTGAAGTCATTACGAACATTTGATTTTATATTTTGCCTACACTTGATGGTTGATATCTTAGGGGTCACAAATGATTTGAATACCATGTTACAAAAGAAAGACCAAAATATTGTAAATGTCATGCATCAAGTGAGGTCCTCTAAGAATAGACTAAAAAAAATAAGAATGAAGGTTGCGGGTGGGAGGGGGGGAGGGGCACATTTAAACGATGTTAATTTATTCTGTGAAAAATGTGAAAAATGTGATTTTGATATTTTGAGTATGGAAGCTCCATAATACAATGGATTAAGTTGTCAGAAAGATTCAAAGTTTAACGACTAGAAAGTTTATTTATTTTCAGAACTTTCCTAATTAACTATTAACAAGTATTGTTGTTTAACTCGCAGATTAATTGTTTGCACCACTACAAAGTTGATATATTTGTTGTGGTCATAGATATGCAATTTCAGGAGCTCAACAATCGCATTAATGAAGCAAACACAACATTACTTGTTTTGATGACTTCTTTATGTCCAAGTAAGTCTTTTCAAGCATTTAATGTGGAGGCACTACTAAAAATGGCTAAAATTTATCTTAACGAATTCCCAATGCGTGACCTTGGAACACTTAGAGAAAATCTTCAAAACTATATTACGGATGTACGTGGAGAAGAAAAGTTTAATAACTTGAAGGGAATTGCAAACTTGGCAAAGATGATGGTTGAAGCAAACAAGCATACCATATATCTAATGGTATATCTACTACTAAAATTAGCATTGATTTTACCCATTGCAACATCAACCGTGGAACGAGCATTTTCATACATACACATACATATACATTTTTTCATACATACACATACATATACATTTTTTTTCATACATATTCACACATACATATACATTGTTTTCATACATATTCACACATACATATACATATTTGCATATACATTTTATATATACATTCATATATTTCATCTAATTTCACATACCAAAATATACAAATTTCACATACCAAAATATATACATTTCATATTCTCACACGCAACCCACTCTCTTTTCCAAACACGGGCATTCAGTTCTAGGGTTTCAATGGCACAGTTGCCCAAGGAAATGATTCAACTAATACTGATAAGGTTAGAGGTGAGGGATCTGATCCGTTACAGGAGCGTTTCAAAGTTATAGAAATGATTGAACTCTGAATCTAATTTCATCAAATCCCATCTCGAACACATTTATCGCCGGGATTGTGAAAATAACAAAATGAGAAGCAGGAGAATTGCTATGTCTACTACGCGCTGTGGTGATTGGCTATATGACCCTGATAAAATCTTATCTGTCTGTCTGTCGCACTTGTCATCTACTTGGTTCTTCAAATGGTTTGGTATGCGTTTCTCCCTCTCGTACCGAATTTTTACTTATCAATCCTGAAACCCGAGAAGTGAATAAACTAGAAAATCCCCAAATCCCTCAGGGGGATATATGATTTATGGTTTTGGTTATGATTCGTCCAAAGATGACTACAAGGTGGTATTAGGATTTAGAAATGGTGGTATTCGTCCAAAGTTTACTTTAAAATCCAACGTCTGGGAAGTTATTGGAGAAGTGAATTACACTTTTGTCAGTAGGGTTGGTTTCCTTTACAGTGGCGCACTTCATTGGGTTGTTTGTCATGGTTCAGCTTATCAGATGCCGCTAATTCTTTCTTTTGATTTGTCCGAGGATAAATTTGAGCAGATCCCACAACCTTGCAAATGGGCAGATCATTTGGGGACCATAAGCGGTTGTTTGTGCGTATTGGATGTGCCCTCAAACACCCTATATGGTATTCCCTTTACACTGCAAGGAGGATAAATCTAACAATCAGAAATGAAAACACAGCATAACTGGATTTTTATTGAATGTCCATTGTATCCTTCGACCAAAACTAAAACAAGCAGTACACGTCAAGAACTACAGATCAGATCTGCAACTTCTGTCAAGATCGCCATCATCTCCAAACATTATTCAGTAATGATGGAACAAGATGTCAGATTTAGACACTACTGAAGCGTTACTAGATATAGCATAAATTGGAAAGTTGAGCATTAAAAATTTATTGGAATCAAAACAATTACATAAGAAAACGTTTGATAAACATACCTTTGAAAGGGTAAGGTAGAGCGGCCTCTGACAAACCCACAAAACCATTGAAATGCAATGAACACCTAACTGGTACCGATCTGATTCTACTAGACTGAGAAAAGATCAAGAAATAGTGTGAGTGACAGGCAAACAACATAAACTTCGAAACACCAAAAAAATGACAAAACAGCTTGAAAACACATGATTCAGAATGGTATAAATTAACGTATCAGTTAACTTACATGTTTTTCGTTTTAAAATGTTATGGATCTTTGCTAGTTTTTGGATCTATGTGCATGATAGAGAATTTGTTTTTGAAATCGCCACATAAAAGTCTTGCTGATTATCAAGACCGAAAAAGACGAAGATCGATAACTTTATCAAAAGGATCCATGATTTTCAGATATGCATATCCTCCTAAGCCAGTAGTTGAATAGTTTGAAGATATAGATTCACAGGGTTGATTATGACAGCGGCTGTCAAATCGTATGAAAATCAAAACTGATTATCTAATATATATATATATATATATATATATATATATATATATATATATAGTAAGAAAGTGTGGGTGTCAACCCTAACCCTGATCTCTAACGATGGTGATTTGCATCAACCTCCCCTAAAATTGTACATATCGTCACATACAGCCCAACCATTACGGAAAATGACACTTTTGTTGTTTATATTTTTAAATGGCCATAATACTTCTTACTATACATAACTATTTTTTTTATCTTTATTTATATTTTTTTCAAAAACACTTGATACATTTTTCTTTCTTGCATAAGTGAGAATATGCATATTCATTGTTTAGCCTTTCAACATGAAAGGGTGTTATAAGTACAAACTTATTATAATGTTCGGCTACAAAATTAATGGTTTCACGAAAAGTTAAAATTATGATTGTGTTTAACGAAATCATAATGATCTTGTATACTAACAATTATATTTATTTAAAAATTAAATTTCATAAAGAAACTGATCTTAATAATGTATATAAGGTAAAATTTTACATATATTTATCGTTTTGCACCCCCTCGAATTAAACTCTCAATGTCTAAGAAAGCTCAACGAGAAAGATTCAATTTTATGAAAGGTTTGTCGGCAACTTCATTTGGATGATTATTCGATTACTCACACCCGATGTTTTGATATTTACACATTGTGCTATATTCATTGCGACATTGCATTTAAAGTATATTTGGATTCCTTTTTTGTTTCAATGCAATATGAGTTATAGAACATGTCAATGATAGTTGAATGATTTTGATAAACATGCAAGAAACATAACACACGCACAAACTTCCAATGGACGATTGATTATCGAGAATCAAGTTTGTTGGTAAATATCCATTGATGGTCGATCATTAATTGCCAGAATGACATAGTATATAAAATTTATAAAAATATATTTGTAAAATTGGTCTATGTTTTAAAACTAATGTTGGATTTAATGAACTTACCAAATTAACTATGGGTATTGTGATAATTGTGTCAAGCATCACTTACATGGAATTGCCCCATGAGTAACGCCAAGAAACCCAAGACTCCTCGTCTGATACTATATACTTCACCGATAACAGTAGACCCAACTGGTCATCATTAATACAACTATTCTACCACACATGTAAGGATAAGTGAGGAGACTCACTTAATACTAACAACAAGTAAATCTCACACTCGAACTGTCAGAACTAGATTACTCCTAGTCAACGAAATAATTAAACCTAATTAATATTTAAGGTCCAAAGCTCAAATCACGAGTCCAAATCCCACAACTATGTCCTCTAAGGGAAGAAAGACCATTTTTCCCTTCTCAATGTCAAAAACCCTAAATCTTGGCCAAAAGTCAAAAGTCAACGAAAGTCGACTACCAAACGCGTATCTTCGGCGTACACTTCCTTAAATGGGGTGTACAACGCGAACAATGGCCGGATGGGGATGGATGTAGCCAGGATTACGCCCGACTTGTCTTAACCCATAAAGTCATTGACATTATCCTTTTGCATGGCTAGGAAGGACCCAATGCAACAAACTTTAGCTTCCAACACACTCTAAGCTACTTTACTCATGCATGGGCTATAGGGAATGATCATAAGTCCTACAATGCATGAAAGGACAACTAATATTCTCTGGAGTGCTCCAAACTGATAAAGGTCCAATCTTGGGGACAAAAAGCTCATAAAGCTTCAACCATGGAGATCGACTAGGAAACTCATCAAGGTATAAACTTTATACCTGAAAAAGATGCACAATGAGGAAATGTTTTTGTATCCAAAAGCTTCCAAGCAACAAGTCCTTTTCCTCTAGCCTCCTCTTCAACAATATGCACCAAAATCACTTAAAAGCTCCCAAAACTCACACAAATGACTTAGACTCAAAATTAGGGTTTGGGGATAGAATGGTGGCTGATAAAGATAGTCCAAAGGGGATATAAAGTTGTTTAAATAGCGAGGAACCCTTAAAAGGGTTTGGAGGCTAGTCTAGTACGTCCAGCGTACCATACGTATGCCAAGCATATAGCCAAAATGCACTCCTTTTTTCTCAAGGAACCAATAGTGCAACTTTTTATAAACTTGAGAGCAATAATAATAATACCTTATATTTGGATGTATTAGTTTACTGCCAAAGTTACTTACTTACAAAACATTAGATTAGTATCACATATACAACATTTAAGGTTCGAGTGTTGAGGATGAAGAAATTTATACCCAACACAAATAAGAAGTGTTATCAATCGAACTAATTATTATGGATGAACACGTTATGTTCAAAGTTTACTACTTATGTTTACTTATATATAGAATATTATTTGATAATATTAGTGTATATTACTCTTAGCCCATCTATTATTAGCAAACATTGGGTCACCCATCCCCGAGAAAACCTTGGTCACGCATCTCCTCAATGGCTTGGGTCCCAAGTTTGACAACATTGCTATTGTTATTCGCCATTGTGAGCCACTTCCAAGCTTCTTTCAAGCCCGCTCCATGCTCGTTCTTGAAGAACAACGATTGGATCGAACTCGTCCTTTGCATGCCGCCCACTCGGACCATTCTTCATCTTCTTAGGTTCTCCATACCGCAACTGATGGGTCTAAATATCATCCCCGGGGGAACCCTACCCGTGCTCCAAATCACAGCAACCTCCACCGAGGACCACCACGCGACAACTGTCGTAACAACAACCACGACAGTCGTCGCCAGCAGCCCTCGGCGGGACGTCAACAGAAACAGCGGCCATCTCAGTCGCTTCCATGGCCTCATTATCCTTCACCATGGTGGCCTCCTTCCCCTTGGTTCACTTACCGATCACCACAACAACCTCCATATCTCAATAGCTCGCCATTTTCTACCTAACAACAACTTGCAATTCTCGGCCAACACCGTGCACCAATGCCTGCAGCTACTTTCCATGTCACCCAATCCACTCCTATACAGCCTCCATGGAATTGGTTTCCTCCAATAGCAAGTGATTAAACCACAAATATTGGTGAAGCTTTGACATGTCTCTTCAACAGCCAAATGATTACACCTAGTTAATGGACACAGGTGGCACTTCTCATTCAACATCTTCCTCATAGCTACTCCAACGTATCATCACCATGCTTTCCACTGAATTTTCCATGACTGATCTGGGACACCTGTCATACTTCCTTGGCGTCTCCGCCTCTCGTTAGCAGTCTGGTATATTCCTCTCTCCATGCAAATATGTGTTGGAACTTCTCGAGCGTGCTCACATGTCTACATGAAATCCATGTCGCACTCCTACCGAGCCCCGTTCAAAGTTTTCTCATGTTGGTACTCCCGTTGCGGACCCCACTTTATATCGTAGTCATGCATGTGGTCTCCAGTATCTTACTTTCACTCGCCCAGACATCTCCTATGTAGTGCAGCAAATTTGCTTATATATGCATGACCCTCGTGAGCCTCATCTTCACGCTCTCAAGCGCATCCTTCGCTACATTCAAGGCACGATTGATTACGGTATTCATATCCAACCCTCCTCGACATCCAGTCTTATCGCTTACTCTGATGCTGACTGGGGAGGGTGCCCTGACTCCAAACATTCTACCAGTGGTTATTGTGTTTATTTGGGTGACAACATCATTTCCTAGTCTTCTAAACACCAGGCTACTGTGTCTAGATCTAGTGCAGAGGCTGAATAACAAAGGTCACCATTGTATACTGTGACAATGTCAATGTCATGTATTTTTCCTCCAATCCTGTACAACATCAGCGGACAAAACACATAGAGATTGACATTCACTTTGTACGGGATCGAGTTGCTACCGATCAGGTCCGTGTTTTACACGTTCCATCCTCTCTTCAGTACAGGGGCGGAACACGAGCATTAGAACTAGAGGGGCCGAAATCAAAACTTCAAAATAAAAAATCTTTTAAGTGGTTCAAAATTATGACATATCAAAGTCTAAACGATGTAACGTTACTGAAAGGGATCATTTAAATATAAGTACTAAATTACTTCCATTTGGTACGATACGAATAAGATACATATATGTAAATCTTAAGGAATATTTTAATGTTTATGTACTTATTTACAGATAATTTTTAGTCATACTAAATTACTTCCATTTGGTACACCTTACAAATAAATCAACAAATAAGTAATAAGCATCTAAATATTTCAAATGCAAGAATTGATTTATATATACTAATAAACAATAAACTTACATATAAAAATAAATAGTTTAATCCAATAAAATA